AATAAATAAATAAATAAATAAATAAATAAATAAATAAATAAATAAAATAGCACATTAGAGGAACAAACAGCGCAGCCAGTGGTAGGAAATGCAGTTGGAGAAGTAGGCCCAGAACTGGCTACTGGGGCCTTGCAGTTAGTAGCAAAGAGTCTAGATTTTATACAAAGAGCAGAAGAAAATCACTAGGGATTTTAAGGAAATGAACAGAATTATGTGATGTACAATTTTAAAAGACCGCCCTAGGGGTGCCTGGGTAGCTCAGTCGGTTAAGTGTCTGCCTTTGGCTTGGGTCATGATCCCAGGGTCCTGGGATTGAGCCCCACATCCAGCCCTCTGTTCAGCAGGGAGTCTGCTTCCCCCTTTCCCTCTGCCTGCTGCTCCCCCTTCTTGTACACACACTCTCTCTCTCTGTCAAATAAATAAATAAATAAAATCTTTAAAAAATAAAAAATAAAAGACCACCCTAGCACTGCTAGGGGGGGGAGGCGGGAATCCAGACCCTCATGCTCTCCAAGGAAACATCTTCTGCCTCCTGTCACCATGGCAACTGTGCTTCATTGCCTGGATTGGTCGCTGTGGTGACAGCAGCAGCACTAAGTGACTGATCCCCACAATGAGGACTGGTTGCCATGGTGCTAAAGTCTGCATAAAAGAATTTGCCACTTTTCTCCAAGTCAAGGTCCTTGACTAGCTCTAAAACTATGGGGACATCAGGGGAGGGAAGAGAAGATCAGATATGGGACCCAAGGGGACGCCGGCTGTCAAGCAGTTGCTAAGTCACTATGCCTCAGGACTTGCCCAAATCAGGACTGCTATTAGAGCCTATTATTTATTGGGGGAGAGGGGGTTTATGTTGCAGGTGGGAAGTCCTCCAGAACATATACACACAAATTCCAAATCCCATGTTTCCTTACACTTCAGAGCTTTTTAAACTGTTTCCTTCTTGAGCAGAACTTTGTAGCTGATTGAGGCATCCCTGCATTACCAGCTAGAGGGGAAGTTCTAGGACAACCTGCTTCTGGATTTTTAAAGTGGGTTTTTAATCAAAACTCCTTCTGTGGGCTTGTCTGGTGGCAGGACAGGTGGGCTCCAACCAGAGCCTCTGGAGTAAAATATGTAGGGCCAGAACAGAGAAGAGATTTGGGGTGGTGATGGTGCAGAGGGTAGCCTGGTTTCAGATCCCTTTCTCCTTCCAGACATCATTCATCAGGTGAATGCAAGGCAGGGTAGGGCCACAGCTGAATTGCAATCCTTCCTCACCCTCTCCCCCCACCACAATTTCTGGTGATCTTTTTCCTCTTGGGAAAGGAACTTCCTCCCCTTGAACTCCAGGCCTAATAGGCCTGAGAACCTGCTTGGTCTTCTGAGGTTATTACTCCCAGCTTTAAGGTGCCTTGCAAGAATAGCAAAAAGAAGTGCAGTAGCAATGCCTACATAAGTTATTATTTTGCTAGCTATTTCCCTGGCAGTTTGAAATCTTTTTTTTTTTCTTTAAGGTTTTATTTATTTATTTGAGAGAGAGAGAGAATGAGAGAGAGCACATGAGAGGGGTTAGGGTCAGAGGGAGAAGAAGACTCCTTGCCGAGCAGGGAGCCTGATGCAGGACTCAATCCAGGGACTCCAGGATCATGACCTGAGCCAAAGGCAGTCACTTAACCAACTGAGCCACCCAGGCGCCCTGGCAGTGAAATCTCAGAAAGGAGAGAGAAGCACTGCCACCTCTGCTCAACTAACCAAGAACCAGTATGTGCCTTTTTCCTATAGCATTATAGATCTCAAAGCAGATTCAGAATCATTTGCTCTTAGGCCTCAAATTATTTCTGTAAACAATTTTCAAATATGTATAGCACAAGTTGGTGATAACCAGATAAACCTCTAGTTCCTGGTGTGACAAAATGGCTTGTGTTAGTCTCCTAACATTGAATATATATGCCCTAGACAAAATATAAAAATAACTGTTTGAAAGCATGGAGACCACCCAAAAGCAAGAAAAGCTAAAGGGAATATAATCCTTGAAAAAAGGAAAGTCCACAGATGAGTCCTACACTTAACAGGCTTTCCTCCTAAGGACACTTCACAGTTTCCTGCAGCACATGGGGAAATAGAGCTCAGGCAGAAAGTGGCACTCTGACCAGCCTCAGAAACACAGGTTGGAGCACAGAAATGCCAGAGCAACTGGAAATTGAGGAAGAAATCTGGGAAATGAGTGAAGTGAACCCAAAATCCACATACAAATTTCCCTCAAATACTTAATTACCTTTTATTTATTTATTTTTAAAGATTTTATTTGTTTATTTGAGAGAGAGAGAGAATGAGAGAAACAGGAGGGGTGGCAGAGGGAGAGGGAGAAGCAGACTCCCCGCTGAGCAGGGAGCCCGATCTGGGGCTCAATCCCAGGACCCTGGGATCATGACCTCAGCCGAAGGCAGAAGCCTAACCCACTGAGCCACCTTCTGAAGGCTTAAATGAAGAATCATTTTCTTGCCTTTTTCAGCTTCTAGACACTGTTTGCATTCTTTGGCTTGTGACCTCTTCCTGGCATCTCTCCAACCTCTTCCAATGTCACATCTCCTACTAATAACTCTGACCCTCCTGCTTCTCTCTTATAAAGACCCTTGTGATTGTATGGCGCACACCTGGAAAATCCAGGCTAATCTCATCTGAAGTTAATCACTTTCTAAGATTAATCACACTGCAAAGTCCCTTTTACCATATAAAGTAACATATTTAAACTCCAAAAAAAATAAAAAATAAAAAAAATAAAGTAACATATTCATAGGTTCAAGAGACTCTGACATGGACATCTTTAGGGGCCATTATTCAGCCTACCACAGATGCCCGGTATTGTGGTTATGTAGGAAACTATTGTTAATTCTAAGAGAGGCATATTGAATTATTTAGGAGTGAAATGTCATGATGTCTGTAAGTTACTTTTAAATACTTCAAGAGAAAGAAGCAATTCTGACAAAATCTTAATAATTGTTAAGTCTAGCTGATACATATATGTGTTCATTAGATTCTTCTCTTTTTTAATATTTGAGGATTTTCATAATAAATTTGTTAAGCTTAATGAAAAAAATATTGAGGGGTGCTTGGCTGGCTCAGTAGATAGAGCATGTGACTCTTGATCTTGAGGTCATGAGTTTGAGCCCCACATCGGGGGTAGAGATGACTTAAAAATTTTTTAAACGTAGGGCGCCTGGGTGGCTCAGTTGGTTAAGCGACTGCCTTCGGCTCAGGTCATGATCCTGGAGTCCCGGGATCGAGTCCCGCATCGGGCTCCCTGCTCAGCAGGGAGTCTGCTTCTCCCTCTGATCCTCCCCCATCTCGTGCTCTCTCTCTCTGTCTCATTCTCTCTCTCAAATAAATAAATAAAATCTTTAAAAAAAGAAATGTTTAAAAAAAAATTTTTTTAAATGTAAAGAAAAATGTTGAAATGCCAGTCTGGTTTAGAAAGCTCACACACTAGCCTATAACTAAACAAGAATAGACGCAAGAGATCAGTTAGCTTGTTAGTGGTTTGAACCAAGGCGATGGTAGTGGAGAGAAGTGGATGGATGTGCGATATATTTTGCAGGTTGAACTCATGCATGTTGAAGGTTTTTAAGAGGTGAGGGTAAAGTAAGCATCAAGGATAATAAAAATAGACTAATTACATTGAGTGTCTACTGTCCAGTTGCTATTCATATTTAATCCTCATAACAAGCTTATGAGGTAGGTACAATTCGCACCCGCATCTTACGTGCAATTCGTTTGTACAACTTTGGGGCTGAGAGTAGAAGCAGTAGTCCTTGGGACCTGGTTTACGTAAAAAAGCGGGTGCCTGGGGGTGAGTTGGGATGGCTCTGCCTGCGGTAAAGGGAAGGAGTTGGCTACGCGTCCGCGGGGGCAGGGACGAACCGCGATTGGCCAAGCTGCCAAGGGAGGGTTGTGCAGATCCAGCGTACACTGCGGGTGGGAAGCTACAGTCCAGCTCAGCCCCTCCAGCTGCTGTCTCTACTTTCTCTGCGACTTAGGAGGGGGGCGAGCGCGCGGAGCTGAGGAGGATGCAGCACCTGCTGTGGCCTAGGGACTCCGGGGGGTTCTGGCTGCTCCTCTGCTTCCTGCTGCTGAACAGCCGCCCAGGGGGCTGCAGCGACATTAGTGGCCACGGTCAGGAGGAAACCTGGGTGGGGCGGGGGAGGGGGGTGCGGGCAGACCAGAGAGCGCTCCTGAGAGAAGTGGAGGAGGGGGCCTCAAGATTAGGAACTCAGGAGGAAAAGGATGTGTTGAGGGACGTGAAAAGAGATCAATGTAGAGAGCGTCTTGTAGAAAGAGACGCAGGCTTGAGGTGGGGCTCCGCATATGGGATCTGGACTTAAGAAAAGCGACGGAAAGACGAGTGGGCAGAGGGAAGTAAGCCCCGCCTATGCCGCCAAAGGAGAAGTTAAGACACACCGAGGGGCCAAGGAAGAGAAGCCCAGGGCTGAGGGATAGGCAGGGGACCCGGATTTCTGGACAATAGGAGCAGAGACGCACGGGTACGGGGTCCTGGCTCCAGAGAGAAAGCTGGGCGGAGAAACGAGCTAGGATTTCATCACAAGCCCTCTGAGCCTGGTATCTGCGCTCTGATTTCAGATCAGAAGGGGAATATTAGGCTGGGGTAAAAGAGAATGGAGGGGGAAAGAGTCCATCCTTCTTCCTCTCCCTCCACTCAGCCTTCGGGGTAGACCAGCGCTGACAACGTCTGAGCGGCCAGAGACCGACTGCGCAGACTCGAAGATTCCAGTGCCAGGCGCCTGGGGAAGAGCGCGCAAACTCCTAGTCTGACGCCAACTTTCCCCGCCCGATTCTTGGGTTTAGAGGCCAGTGCAGAGGGCTCGCGAAGAACTGTGGGAGGAGGCCTGGTGGCGGATGACAGGAGAGATGTGGGTGTGGCGGGGGAGGGGGACGTTCTTGTAGGGATGCCTCTGCCGCCCAGACGCCTCTTCCAAGCCACGCGTCGGTCACTCCCTCAGCACCAAGGACAGCGCCAGGAGCCCTGTGGGTCTGACAGAGGGCGTCCAGGTCACCACTTTTCCTATCTGTCCTGGAAGGATGCCTCAGACAACAATCTCCCTTCCAGAAGAAGCTCTTTTCTTTCTCATGAGGGTGCTGGAGATTCTGCTCCTTCCGAAAGCCAGGAAACTGGTGTGGGAATCCATTTGATTTCGGAGGACCATTCCCTTTTCTTAACGCCTGTCCATAATGACTCATGGTAATTCCACTATATAAAAAATGGACTCTCTACCAACTCTACCCCATCTACTTGGAATAATGAAGGCGTTGTAGCATTAGGGATTATCCCCTCCCACACTCTCTCGTTCCCCTATGCACAGTTAGATAAACTGTGGCTTTCAGGACAAAGATCCAGACACACAAACCCTATGCATACCAATACTTGTTTCCTCAAAGGATTCTAGGCCTCAATCTCCTCCAGGCTTCCAAGCCTTTGAGATGCAGTTCACCTGCTTCCCATGCCCCATTGTTCATCTGATTATCCATTCCATGTGTATAGCTTTCTGAGTCTCTGCTTACTTCATCCTCCACAGGCTGCTCTTTGCTTGTAAGCTTGGTTCTTATCTGGAAGTTGGCATCAAAGGCGAATGAGGTTCCAAATAACAAGGCAGGTGGTGATGGGGAAGGGAAAATGAAAAGAAGGAGGACTTGAGAGGAGGAAAGGGTCTGGTGAGGGGGACAGAGACCGGGGAACCCAGGGGTAATAGTGGAAGAAAGATGCTTTTCTTCAGCTGGGATTTGAAAGGCTTCTGGCCAAGCTCCTTGCTGATGCCACCATTCTGCCTCTTAGATGGTCAGGGCCAAGTGGGAATGGGGCAGCTCTGGCCCCTCCAAGGATTTGCCAGTCCAGTTTTCCAGCACTTACAAGTTGTATTCCAGCAGATTGTGCCCCAAGGTGAGTAAGGGCTGGAGAAGAGTGGCTGGGATCTGATCAGAAAAGTTGGAAAGAGTGAGGGGCTGTTTGACCTGAGGATGGGCTTTCTTCCCCAGATGTCTCTACTTGAAACTTTCCTGTCATGCTCACCTCATGGAAAAGGGGGTATGACTGGAATGGGGGTGGAGTTGGATGGGTGGGCTCTTTGCCCTTGAACACTCTGGAAGAGGCCAGCATCCAGTTCCTTCTGATGAGTCCCAACCCCTAGTGCTATCTGAGTTTTTCCATAGCCAGCAATCCTTGGGTTCTCAGCCAGGAGAACACACCTACACACCCCTCAGCCTCTGAGTAGGAAGCAGAATAAAGAGGATCATGAATAGATAGGAGGCATGAAAAGGAGTGAAAAGTCCCTTGGAGACAGAAGGCTGACCCTTCCTTAGAGCAGAATTTCATGGATGGGGGAAGGGTCAGAAAGGAAATCTACCCTGAGTTCATATTACTGCTGTTACCACTACTGATGTCTAATATGTGTGTGATGCCTTAGAGCAATGGTTCTCAAAGTGCATCAGGACCAGCAGCATCAGCATCACCAGAGAACTTGTTAGAAATGCTCATTCTTGAGCTTCACCCCAGACCTACTGAATCAAAAACTCTGGGTGTGGGGAACAGTAATTTGAGTGGGTTTTTTTGTTTTAAAGATTTTATTTATTTATTTGAGAGAGAGAAAGAGAGCATGAGTGGGCAGGGGGGAGGGTGAGGAAGAAGCAGACTGTCCGCTGAGCAGGTAGCCTGGCTCAGGGCTCCATCCCAGGACCCTGAGATCATGACCAGAGCTGAAGGCAGACACTTAACCAACCGAGCCATCCAGGCGCCCCTAATTTGTTGGAATTGGAAATTCCAGAATTTAGAAATTCTGATGCACACTAAGGTTTAGGAATCACAGCCCAAGTTTTCTAAGCACTCTTTACACCCCTAATCTCATTTAGTCTTCACAATAGCCTCAAATGAATCAGCAAACAGAATACAATCCTAGTGGAAGGTTCACTATACACCAGGCACTATGCTAAGTAATGTTTATACACCAGCTCATTTAGTTCTCTGCACAAGTTGTGATTCTTTATCTACTTGAGGGAGAGGGGGATTGCTGGTCTCACTCCAATTCCTGGAGTGGACCAGTCAGTGTGTCTCAGGTGTCAGTTCACCACATCCTTTTACCCTGCAGGTTTGTTCTGGAGGAATGACATTACCCAGGATGTGAGGGCCCAGAAGCACATCAGCAGATTCCACCCCCAAGATCCATGTCTGAGGCATGGGCAGGCAGCCTTTCCCACCAAAACCACTGGGATAAGGTGCGTGAGGTCAATGGCTGGCCCATGCTGTCTAGCAGACAGACAGCAGGGAGGGAACAGATGTTAAAACTGTAGGGAAGAGGGGCACCTGGGTGGCTCAGCCATTAAGTGTCTGCCTTCGGCTCAGGTCATGATCCCGGGGTCCTGGGATCAAGCCCCGCATCGGGGTCCCTGCTCCATGGGAAACCTGCTTCTCCTTCTCCCACTCCCCCTGCTTGTGTTCCCTCTCTCGCTGTGTCTTTCTCTGTCAAATAAATAAAATCTTAAAAAAAAAAACTACAGGAAGAGCTCCTGGCAGGACTATGAGAGTCATCTATGAGAGGTTCTGTCTGGGATCCATGAAAAACAACCACCAGCCTCTGCAAAAGGAGAGGAGATGGGTGTTAGCAAGTTCCATCTGTCATCCCTGTCTCTTTAGGAGCAAGCAAGAGGAGAAACTTCGACTCCTATTCCCCAAGGTAAGACTTACGTGTCTTCTCAAGAGTTTTCAATCCCTGACTTTGGATCCTATCCCTTTTCCTTCTGGAACCCCGTCATCCTTTTCTGCCTTCTTCTTGACTCCTGGCTTCCCCTCTCCCAGAACCCAATGGCCAAAGTGAACAGGGAGCAGTGCTTTACCTCCAAAGTGGATTTGAAGATCCTCAATGAGAGGGGACCGACGCTGTCAAGGTAAGGGGTTTACTTTTTCTCTGGAGGTTGGAATCACCAAGAACCTGTTTAAAAGAGGGAGGCCCCTATGAAGAAGGGAATAGATATTGAGGTGTGAACAGATAAGCTGAAGAAAAGTTCTTTCCTTTCCCAATCAAAGGTTATCCCCATCCTTCTTCTCTCACAGAAACACCTGTGGGCATCTGTATGAGAGGTTGGGAGGGTATCAGTATGAAAGGTTAGGAGGCAGATGCTGGGAGCCTCTAAGGATGAGATGATCTAAAAGATTGTGCATAGACACTGAGTCTCACATAGGCATTGAAAGTTGCCAAATTAAAGCAAATTAAATTAAATTCTTTTTTTGCTACTCCATGGCCTGGGCAAAGTGACCAGGGCAAGGCTCTGGGTTATCTCCTTGAGATACTTGAACTCTTCAGAATCTAGATTTGAAACACACATCCAGGGGCGCCTGGGTGGCTCAGTCAGTTAAGCATCTGACTCTTGATTTCAGCTCAGGTCATGATCTTAGGGTTGTGGGATTGAGCTCTGTGTTGGGCTCCTTGCTCAGCGTGAAGTCTGCTTAGGACTCTCTCTCTCCCTCTCCCCCTCCCCCCGCTCACACTCTAAATAAATAAATAAATAAATAAAATCAATCTTAAAAAAACAACAACACGCATCTAGCACTCCCATCTGTCTTTATAGATGAGACATTGGGGCTGGTCAAGGGTCAGGTTCATGGCAGAGCCAAGACTGGACCCAGGTCTCCTGAATCATAGACATTTCCCTTGCACAGCCCCTGCCTGTCCTCTCAGGGACTGCAGTGAGAATAGGGCTGTTCCAAACGTCAGACTCCTCCACACTGATGAAAGTCTTTTTTTTTTTTTAGACTAAGACCTGAATTGCAAGAAGGTGGCAGCCAGAGGAAGGTTTAGGGAGGAGCATCCCAAGCAGAGAGCACTGCAGTGACAAATGCCCCGAGGCGGGTATACCATTCACTTTAGAGGAACAGGTGGAAAAGTCAGTGGCAGAAGATTAGGTTGGAGAAGTAGGCCCCGGAATGACCATCCAGGGGCTCATGGATCATAGTGAAAAGTTTGGATTTTAAGTGTAGTGACAACTTCACTGGGAAGTTTCAAGGAAGGAGTGACATAATGTGATACACAATTTCAAAAGGCCCCTCTCATGATAATGGGGTATAATCTCTGTGAGAAAAGCAAGCGTGAAAACTGAGAGCCTGCAAGGAACTCGCACCTCAGGGGGCTTCCAGACGCTCAGGCTCTCCTAGGAAACCAGTTCTTGCTCCGTCAAGTGACAGCTGGCCTTCCTAAGCCTGGAGTGGTTGCTGGGTCGAGGCATTTAGAGCTAAGTGACAGACCCACTTGTAAGGGATGGTTGCCATGGTGCTTCTGTGAATGCAAACAAGGTGCTGCCATTTTTCTCCAGCCCAGAGCCCAAGGGAAAAGCACAGAAGGGAGGGTGAACTATTTGTGGGAGCCAAGGGGACAGACAATGGGTGGGCTGAGTCACTGTAGCTTACATAAATCAGGCTCTTATTGAAGGATTTTGTGAAAGAGAGTAGGTAAGGAAGGGGCCACCTCCCCATATACTGATTCCAATCCTTTGTTTCTTCTTGTTTTAGGGCTTCTTTGAGCCACCCCCCACTGTGGGCCAAAGCCTTATTGCTGACTGAGACCTCAGGTGGAGCCCCTCTGCCCCAATGCTCTCCCATTTGCCCTCCAGGGGGACAGTTCTAGGATGACCCTAATCTGGATCATTAAAGTGGACTTTCATGCAAACTCTTTCTGTGATTTGTCTTGAGGCAGGATGGGTGGGGTTTGGAAATGGCCAGAGCCCCCGAAGTAAAAGAATAGGGGTGGACCAGGGGCGCCTGGGTGGCTCAGATGGTTAAGCGTCTGCCTTCGGCTCAGGTCATGATCCCAGAGTCCTGGGATCGAGCCCCACATCGGGCTCCTGGCTCAGCCGGGAGTCTGCTTCTCCCTCTCCCTCTGCCTCTCCCACTGCTCATGCTCTCTCTCTCTCTGTATCTCTGTGTCTCAAATGAATAAATAAAATCTTTAAAAAAAAGAATAGGGGTGGACCAGAACAGGCGTGCAGTGAAAAAGCACAGCTCTTCGGTACTGGTAGAAGGCTGGTTTTTGTCTTGTCTTCCCTGAAGTGGGGAAAGTGAGAGAAGGACCAAAGCTGGAATGCAGGCTTCCCCACTCACACCTACCTGCACTGTGTGGTCTAGTTGCATGCCCTTCCATGTCAGACACACCTGGACCCTGCTATTTTATGTGGGTCTTCCTCCCCCTGCCAGCCAAGAATCAAGAGAGAAGTGCTCTAACCAAAGTGTACACACATTAAATATTTTGATGGCTCTTGCCAGTTTGCTCCTGGTAGCTGAAAATCTTAAAGGGAGTGGGTAATCTGACCACCTATGCTCAGCCCAGCTGAACACCAGAATATCCTGTTTGCAGAGCTTTATACTTCTCAAGTACTCTCACACTCATTGGATACTCAGTGTAAGCAAATGGGCAGGTATCAGGATTTGATTTCTCTAAGGAGTTATGGAGTTGTATACCTATGCTAATGATCATATAGCTATAAACCTAAGTTTATAGACTTCCCTGGCTGTAAGTTATACTTCAATAATAAATAATAATAACTATGAACTTCTCAAAGTAAAAAATGTAAAAAGGGAATAGGAGAAAAGATGTTTCTGAAAAGAAGAAGATGGGATGATTTGCTTTACCTGCTATCAATACTCAGTATGAAGCTGTAGTAATTAAGAAAGTGTGGTATTGGAGCACCTGGGTGGCTCGGTCAGTTGGGCATCTGTCTTGCCTCAGGTCATGATCCCGGGATCCTGGGATTGAGCCCCGCATCGGGACCCTTGCTCAGCGGGGAATCTGCTTCTCCCTCTCCCTCTGCCCTCCACCCCACTCGTGCTCTCTCTTTGTCTCTCTCTCAAATAAATAAATAAATAAAATCTTCAAAAAAATATAAGATAGTATAAGAATAACTTCATGTCCTAATGGTTAGAAAAGATTTCTTAAAGAGGAAATGAAAGTGCAAAAAATAAAGGAAAAGATAGTACATTTAGTACATTAAATTAAGAATATCTATAAACTCTAGGGGCACCTGGGTGGCTAAATTGGTTAAGCCTCTGACTCTTGATTTCGGCTCATGATCTCAGGGTCATGAGATTGAGCCCCACATTGGGCTCCATGTTTGGCAGGGAGTCTGCTTGGGATTCTCTCTCTCCCTCTGCCCTTCCCCACGCTTGTGCACACACTCTCTCTCTAAAATAAATAAGTAAATCTTTTTAAAAAAGAATATGTATAAACACAACTGAAGTAAAAGTTTTAGGATATACTATTATCTCTGCCATGTGAATGCAAAATTCTTCCAGCTATCTTCCCTGATAAGAATGGGAAATAAAGAATTTTCTAAGTCGGTGTTGTTCAGTAGAACTATAATTTATAATTATATATGTAATTTAAAATTTTCAAAAAAAAATAAAAATTTCTAGGGGTGCCTGGGTGGCTCAGTCATTACGCATCTGCCTTTGGCTCAAGTCATGATCCCAGGGTCCTGGGATCGAGCCCCGCATCGGGCTCCCTGCTCCGCAGGA